CAAGCATATATTTAATAAAATTTTACAAAATTTTCATTTCATCGACCCGTCCTAATATGCATACAAAGTATTTAATTTATTGGCCCAAGTTTAATTGTTAGCGAGTATTGCACATTCTTTCACAGTATGTAATTTACATAAGAATTATACAAAAGTTATAAAAATGTAAGCATTGTCTTGCCTTTCTTAGCTGTGACTGCTTCGCTCACCTTAAACATGCGTTCTCACTGAGCAGGTTTTTTAATTCAAGTTTTCATAAGTATTATATAATATATGTTAAATAATCAATTAGCTAGAAGTTAATATAATTAACAGTTATCGTTTTCAGCTTTCATTGGAACAAGTTTTTCACTTATGTAATCGTAATGTATTTGAATTACTGCATTAAATATGCATTTATTGAATTGTGAGACAATTTTTACAATATACATACATACGTAAGTAGCTGTGAGGAAGCTAATCAAAATCAGCATTTCTACAGAGTGTGTGCACTTTTTTCTGTTATGATGTCAGTTGCAAGGAGGGATAGCAGCAACTTTATTGCACTATGGAATCATCAGCGTAAAAACGCAGCAGCGTTGCGCCAACAGCGAGAAATAAATTAGAAAGCTTACGGTTCTCAATGACTAGTAGAAAAATATATATACATATGCAGAAGTATGTATATTAGGGTGAGTCAAAAAAGCGATTTTTTTTTTGCCTCTATACTCTGAAAAATTTGTTCTCTACTAGTATGAGCTATTAATTATAGCGACTAGATCCTTCCCCCTACATTTTTCCCATTTTTTCTTAAAAATCATCTTGTTTTGTAACCACCCTAATGTATGATATGTGGAGATATAAAAAATTTAAATTATAAAAATACGTTCTAGATATGCATAATTGAATGCCAAACCTATTTACTCACTTTCTACAATTGAGTGCTAGCTGCTAATTTTCATTAGTCAGCGAGGGCCAATAACCGATATGCATCCAAAGTGAACACGCGAAGCTTATAGATTGGTATAAAAGGGTGATGCAAATGCAAACTACAACAAAAAAAAACAAAAAAATTTTTGTTTTGGTAATAATGAAGCCAATTAAAAGCTGATAACAGTTTTCCAAAAAACGTGGAATGAGCTACAGTGAATTCACGGAAACCTACTCGTTTCGTGATCCAAAATAGAATTTTGGCAGGTCAAACCGACCAAAATTTTTGGGTAAAGTTCACCTTTTTTTTTAACTCACAATTTTGGTAAATTTTGACTTTTTTATATTTTGATATATAGCTTTAATTTCCCTGGACAAGGCATATTAGGGGTCACCACGAAGTGGGTAACGGCTGGCGACAGCCCTACCCCACTGCGCTCAATAGCAAATCGAATCAAATTAATACCGTGACCAGACCCCTGAAAATGTCAAGCATTTCCAGTATCAATTAGCAATGTAGAATGGGCACACTAACCACCTTGTTAGGGTACAAGGCACCACTTCGGAACCGGCACCCGGTTGCAATCCAACTCCGCTTTCAACTGGCAGAGTGCCATTTCTTCGGATTTTAACCATAACCACGACGATACTCCTCGAGAGGCCAGTCCGCATGAGCCGGTCGAATCGAATTTCAAGGACTCCTGCTCCCCGTGGTACCAGAATTAAGTCTCAGTTAAGACTTTGTAGCCGAAACTACTACCAATTGAGCCTTTATACTGTTTTGGACTGGCGACCAGCGGTTGGACCTCTTACACACACCACTCCCACATCTAATTCCCACTTAAACGATCCTAATTGTTCGGTATTGCGACTAGTGGAGATCACATCACTAATGATTCCTAATGTCCTAGTACATGCACCCAATTCCTGGACCCATGTGCCACACAAGTACTCCGACCAATCAGTCCATGCTCCATAAGCAGAAAATCCACACTCAGTCATATTACTTAAAAGTAAAATACGTAAATAAAAAAAAAAAATGCTTGCTAAGAGTGCTTGGACACTCACTTAACGCAGCAATTCTCTCATTTATACCACCCTGTATATTCTTTGTTTTGGTTTTGCCTATAAAATTGCGTACACATGCACTTATTCTGAAAAAAAAAAAAAATTGTTTCAGCCGACGACGCCTCATTGCCCTGGGTGGCAATAAGCAATGTACGAAAACTCATTACGAATCGAATTTGGCAGTTGAACATGGAAACGCATGTTCAACATGTGTACATATGTATGGACATGTGTGTAAAAAAATCACACAACAAAAAATAATAATTCATTCATGCATTTATTCACAGGTGGCTATTGATTTGGCATGATCGCGCAAGTTACGGAAGAGAGTGGCAGAACAACAACAACTAGTTCATTGACCGGCCCAAATCAGCTGTACAGCTGTTAATTAAAAAAAATATGCAATACCAGCAATAAATGTGCAAAATAACTGTGCAAACATATACTCATATGTACATATGTATGTATGTATACACATAAATGATAATATATATACATACAAGCATAAGTTCAGATGCATAAGAAATATATAGCAGTGAAGGGTATCACCGCTTCGGTGCAGCCGCAGTTAAGGCTTTTTTCTTTTTTAATGTACACTCACATTTTAAAAATTAACCTAACAGTAGTACACATATCTATGTATGTACATACATTGTATATATATACATAAATATGCATGCGTTAATTGATCGCAATAATCGCCAGAACAGCAACAAATATTAATTCGTGCAAATTAGTTTTAATTGAAATGCCGAAAACATATTAGGTTCATTAACCGCTATGTTCAGAGCTTGTCTTGGATAAGGCATAGCGAGTTTCTGTTTCCAAGTAAAATCCCATAAAAATCAACGAATGCGCTTTTATATACGGTCAAGGTATGTCAACTGTTGTTTTTTTTTTTTTTTTTGTTGTAGCGGCAATATGTCCAAAGTCAAAAATGGATGTGTTATTGGAATGAAAATTTTCTAAATTTTATAAAAAATAACCTTATAAGAATATTTTTTAAGGTTATGTTGAGTCTTCTCGGCTCAATTTGCTGGAACACTATATATGAAAAGTTATTTTTTATATATAAAATTTAATATATAATATTATTTGTTAATTCATATACAAATCGAAAACTTTTGCATTACAACAACAGCAGCTGTCAAGATTTTAGAATTCCATAAGAGCCTTCCTTTTTTTTTAAACACGAAACTGGTGATCTTTAAACGATTATTTATTTCCTCGATAAAAACCGTTTTATTTTGATAATTTTTCAACTAACTTAAATAACATTGGTATATCCCGGTTCACTTTCCGCAAACCATTTTTTGAAAATTTCGTTTTCGACCGTTTTCTTTAAAGTTCACAACAGCACTAAATTATGCAAATGAAGCGCTATGTAAATCGGCAGCACATCAGTCATTAGATGATATTAGCAATATGATTACGAGATAAACTTATGCATAAATCAAGAAATATTAATCAACGACAAAAACAAGCAGGTCATCCACTATAAGCGCCAAATAATTTGCTGTTTTGATATAGAGATTATGCTTTCGATATGATTGCTTATTAATTTGACGCTCCGTAAACGAACACGCTTCAACGAAAATATCGAAATACATACGTACATACAGACGTATGAATGGTGATATTTTATCAGCTGGCAGTCAAGTGATCCATTGTAAATGAACAAAAAAGTGAAAGCGTCAAAGCATATCTAACAACAAAATATGCATACACACGTTAAATTATACATTTACGTACAAACATATTGATATCTTATCAATTGCTGAGCGTCAGCGTGGGTTATAATAAAAATAATAAATAACAATGAGGCGATATAATAATTTGAAGTTGCTACTAACAAGCTGTAGAAGCGGCACTATTGTGCAGACTTGTTAAACAAAAATTAAAAGTACACACATACACACATGTGCAACTCCATGTACATGCATATTTATTATAATTTAATGATTGAAAACTCAATTTATTCACAACCATATCGGTTACGAAAATGTATGTAGTTATTAATGACTCAAGTAATGAAGGCAATAATCACTTTAAGGCGAGTATGCGCGAAATACTAATTTTTTGTATTCAGCATTTGCGCTAAGCAATCACACAAGTGAAATAATTTAAGTCGAAGTAAGCACATATTTCACCTTTTTTATCGAGGCACTTTCAATACAGTAAAGTATTTATTATATTAACAATTTAGAATAGAGACACACAATTTAACGGAATATTTACACAGAATTTTTTTAAATTAACGTAAAATTTATAGACGAATCTCATTTATGAAAATTACGATTTTGAAAACACGTAAAAGTAACAAAAAAAAAGTTGATTTCAAAATGAAACTTTTTGAATGAAACTACAACAGAGAGTTGCTGAACAAAAGAGTAAATAAATATTAGAAATTATAACATTTAATAATAATTTCACTACCGTTTAATTACAATACGTATTTTATAATTTCTTTAATTAATAAAAAAAACATAGCTATTAATAAACAGACAACGGCTCAAGCAAAAATATGTAAGTGCTATGAATCACGCAGTTATTTACAGAAATACTTTAAGCGGCGAATGTGTTTCGAGCATTTTTACACACATTTACATAAGAAGATGTATAAGTAGCAATTTCGCTGACCCCGCTACTGCCATTAATATTTTGCCGCTTTGTATATTTTTTATAAACATTATTTGCTGCGAGCAAATAGAATTAAGTAATTCAATCTTTATGCCAACAAATATGCGTGCATAATATAGTCACACGCTCGCAAACAACTGAGCTGCCTTTCGCACTAATGTTTTATTCACTGCGGTACTCACCTGCACACCACGCAGTTTTTCCTCCAAAGAGCTGAACGCCAATTGGAGCGCAGTATGTTCATCTAGCAATGTCGTATTAAGTTTCTTTAACTGATCCAAGCTGGATTTCAACATTTCTACTTCTGCACGTAATGAATTATTGGCCGATTGTTGTTCGTTAATACTGTAAAATATGCACACAAACGCAAATATGTTAGACAAATTTGTTTTCAATTTTTTATGAGTGTAATAAAATTGGTTAGATATATAATTAGGTACGAATTCGCACATTAGATCTTTTTCCGCTATTTGCTTTTTCTGCTTCTCCACGCTGAGATTTAAATCCACAATCATTTGAGAATTTTCGCCTTTACGTTTATGTAAATCAGTCAATTCTTCCTGTTGTGCCAATAGTTTCTTCTCCAGCGCTGCAATGGCTAATTGTGCGCCGGTAGCATCTTTACCGCCACCTGTTGAAAGTGCTGTGCGCAGTTGCTCATTTTCAACGGAAATTTTTAAATTTTCTGCTTTCAGTTGTGAAGCCTGATCTATTAAACGGTTATCTGAAATAAAAGACAAAAAAAAAACATTTAAAAAATAGCCACGCATATAAATTAGAGAAGCGGCGAGTGTTGTTTGTGATTGTTATCAATATATTAGCATACAATGACTAATAGCATTTTGGACGCTTTGATATTGCAAACTTTACTCGGCCTTAATATTTGTATAGATTTTTTGCTTACTTTGCAGTATAATCTCTTTTCCTCTGGTTTCATTGCGATTTCTGTCGCGTAAGCGATTAGCGATACATTGACGCCAAATCGGCTCTTCTGTGGACATCTTTGCTTAGGTTATTGTTGTGTGTGGGTGGGCGTCTATACACGCTTTGCCGGAATTTACATACACTTTGCAGTCACTTTTATTTATGACGCTTTAATCCTTCGACTGCGTCACAGTGTTGCTTTCTGATCCTTTCTATTTTGATTGTGAAAGTTTCCCTTTGGCTTGTTAACGCAAGCCGTATGTGTTGTTTTGTGCTAAAGACGTTTACTCACAGAGGCCAGTTGTTTCAACACACACTTTTCGCTTATAATTGTCACAAATTACAACACATTTTCAATATCGCAACTTATGCCCTCACACAACAACCATAGAGAGTCGCACTTGCACCATATAGGATATAAATCGAAACACTCCTTTGTGAAATTGATAAGAAAATTAATAGAAAAAAACTACGGAACGAAAATCACATATTTGCTAAGTTCCCACAAAATTTGTTTTGATGTTTGACAGCTGACTGGGTGCACGACATGCGCACACAACAGGGTTGCATCAATGTGTGCATTGTGAATGATTATTGTTTACAAGACATTAGTGGCGAAAAGTTGGGATTGTTTTACATGAGTTAAAATAGTATTTATAAAAATATTTGCTTTTTGCATTTTAATGAGTGAAATGCTCACAAAATATATCAACAATAAGATTAAAGAGCATAGTAAAATATTATTGCTATACAAAGAAAATTTAAGTGAGTGAAACAACTTTCGACAAATTTACTAAATTGGGCAACACCCATAAGCTGTCAGAAAGCATTTAAAGACGTAGTTCCCGGTAAAAACGGTATCAGCTTCCTGTGCAAACCGCAAAATTACAGAAATTGGACATTAAATTGTTATTGTTGATTAAATAAGTGTAATATTGAGTGCAATTAAAGGTGTAAAGTGAAAATAAGTTGAAATGCATGCAATTATAATGATCAAAAGTGTTTTAAATTAAATTCTTCAGCAAAATGTGTTGTGAAAGTGGCTGCGGCATGCAATTGTCTGTGCATGTGCTTGCTTACATTTGTTCCCCATTTTGGGTGAAGTATTTGTGCAACTGCGTCAGTCATAGTCGGCTAATATGCCGGAAGCAGTTTCTGCTAGTTCCGGATTTGCATTCAGTCCACCCACAGGTAAGTCGATTTATAGCGTAGTATGTATTTGAAAATAGGTTATATTATAATATAATGCGGATGAGGTTAGAAAGCTTTGCCAAAAACAAAACATGCATGTCCTAACTACATATGTAGGTAGTGTGCGTGTTCTGTTCATGCTGAAAACATATGAACATACGCATGCAAGTATAATATATAATATGTGTGTATGTACATACATATGTCATTTTAGGATTACAATGCATTTTGCTATTAACTTTGCCATAACTACATACTACATCGTTTTATAACCTCAATTACATACATATGTATGTGCTCGCTGAATGTATAATTTTTTGAAAGAAATACTAATACATTTGTAACTAACATGAAATTTGGTATCTCAAATAAAATTTTAATGTTGACTGCAAGAAGTTGTCGAGTAACTTAAACATTAATATAGATATGTGTGTAAACAAAAAAAGGTGTTAAAGTATTGAAATGCCGAAAATGTCCGCAATTTGCGATTAGAGACGAGGCAATAATTTTCCATCATGACAATTCTCGGTCATGTTGCAAGAACTTTTAAATACTATTATAAAAACAGCGACTGAGGAGTTTTGTCTCATCCACACAGATCTTGTTCCTTCTGACTTCCATGAAGTAATAATAAAAAAAAATAAAATAAATTGAAACTCAAAGTGAAGTTTTAATAAAAAATTATTTTATTGGAATATTTAAAAATAAATCCACCTCGTTTATAATAAATAAATTCAAACGGTAAGTGAAACGTAAAAACGTAAAGGTTTTTGGAAAATTATTTAACATTTATTTAAAATCCTTACAACCAGGAGATTGGTGTGCTTAGAAGAAATGTGCCTCTAGCTCCATATTTACCAGATGTTTATTTCATACTTTTCTCTATATTAGCACTTCTAATTAGTTTTTAATAAATAAAAATTAAATGTATTTTATTTTAATTATTATTATAAATTTTTTTATATTGTTGCATTTTCCATATACATATGTAGTTTAAAAAGTATCCTTATATGAGCATATGCTACCGCTCAGCTACGTATACTGCTGTTGCATTAAAATATAATTATTGTTTATCAAGATTTTTGCCATTTAACGCCAACAATAATTCAGTATTGAAATTGCCGCCCACGCTTCAACGTACATTTGTACATACTTATGTATACAGTCAGTGTTAAATACTTGTTTTTGCATTGCAAATACGGAAATAAAAATAGTGAAAAAAGTTAAAATAAATGTATATTGTAATAACAATTAACGAATGCAATTACGCTAAATACATTTTAGACGCGTTCCAGACTCACGACACCACAAATAACAAATGTAGTCATAAATAATTAATTTGCAAAGCACAAGAGACGCGCAGGCGCAAAGAAATTGAAGCAGAAGCGTGTTAGCAGCCGAAAAAAGCGAAAAAGTAGAAATGTAAACAATACGTCGCTTAGCCAGGCGTTGAAAAAAATCACGACGGCACAGCTAAAAATAGACAGCGCGTAAAAAGTAGCGTTAGCTTAGTGTTAGCCATGAGTCAGGCTTGGCTTAATAAATATTAGAAATTGTTGAGCCAATCTACATACACGGCTTATGAGGAACCATATATTGACGCGTCATAATTATACAAAACAGCTCGTATGTCAATTACCGACTGCCATTATATTTATTTACCGCACAAAATTGCCGCCTCTGCGCTTAGCGAACGCGCTGTGCCAATGTGTCGAGATTTTCAGCTTATATGGCGCGGCTGCTTGTTTTCGAACCCCATTTGATTGGGCTCGACAAATGTCTAAGGTGTTTGGCAGAAATAAATATGTAAAATAACAGAAAATGAAAACAAAGGAGAGCAAAAACAGAGCACCGCTTAGATGTGGGCGCAAACGTCAGCAATATTTAAGGCAACAACAATTTGCGAAGCCTCAAAGCAAAGTTTTTTGTGGCCATAATATTTTTTCAAACAATCATCATTAGCTGGTCGAACAACTTTCGCAGCATTTCGATATTTTAAAATAGACAAAGTGTGTGATTTTCACAGTACGGTTTTAGAACGCCAACAAAGCACACAGCTCGCAAAGAAACGGAATAGTAAAATAACGCGTTTAAAACGTTTAAAGGACTACAGTGAAAAATATATAAAAAGGATATAAATAGCACAAACAAATACAAGAAAAATGCCATTGAAGAAGAAGGACGAATATATACCCATCAAGTGTGAGGGTTGGAATGGCAAATTCGTGTACAGTAACGGTGCGGCGAATAATGTTTCGAAAGTGCGTCGACACAATCAAAATGTCACCGACACCTCCAACTTCTATGGCTACAGCACTGAGCCGATCATTCTGCCCGTGAGCTGGGACGGCACATTTGCCAAGAGTGGCGAGACACGCATACAACCAGAACGCAATCGTTCCGACGATACGGAATACTTTCAGTACAATACGGAACCCACCGTGTTGCCAACACAATGGAATGGCGAATTCCAGCTCGATCCCAATGATATACGCATCAAACCCGAGCGCAATCACTCGGATCCACGTGACTATGCGGAGGCCAGCCGTTTCAAGCGTGTCAGTTAAACGCATGCAGCCATAGCTTGAAGCATGTGGTGGTTCGAGGCATTCAGCACTGAAACTGTTTTAAGTTTTTTTCTTTTACTAACAACGTGATTTTTTGAATTACTAAGCATTATTACACAGTTTTGCGCAACGTGGCTTGTTACTTAAAAGCGTGGCGACACACATATGTGTAACTTTTTGAATTCGTGCAATTATTCTTTACGAGTTCTTACCCAAACAATTCACTGATACTCACTTATAACGGTGCTTAAGAAAAGTGTAAAATTTTGAAATTGTGATTATATTTATCCTAAAACATAAATAAATAAAACTACTTTGATAACTTTTAAAAAGGACTTTGAATTATCTTGTGGCTTCTAAAGATTTTTGCTGCTTAGTTAACAGGTGTGATGCCTTTGAAGGCCCTACAAAGATATGTATTAGTTCTGAATTAATTGAGTTCTAAGGTGTCACTGTTTCTTAATTGTAAACTATTACGAAGGAAAAAATTCAACAAATCGTCAAGCGAAACTAAAAAATATTTGGGAAATGCTTTTTTTTTATTTGTATTTTTATTTTTATTTTTTTTTTTTGGCATTAGAATAACAACAAAGCTTACGCGAACACTAATTATATGATGAGATTATAAGATTCAGATTGTCATAAAACAAAAACATGTTTTTTTTTTTTGTTCTTCCACTACACGTTGCACAGTTTGTTAGTTTTGTTATGTGCCATCAAATTTGTAGCGAAATGAGAAGAAAAACAACAATTTTAGATATTTTAAGACAAATCTTGATTATCGCCTTAAAAAAAGGCTGAGCCAATATATTTATGCCAACGCTTAATCCAATTTTCCATACACAACAATATAGCAGAGCTGGCGTTAAGTGCAGCGACTGACTTTAATCGCTGCCATTAACTCATGGAAAATGTCACAAGTAACCAAATCTTGTGAACACGATAGCTCAGCGTTGACCCTCGTTTCGTGTTAGCCAAAAAACGTCTGTCACAATCATAATGGAATGTAAGCGAATTATCGTTGTGAAAAATTCATGAATTTTCTGTCGACAAATCCGATCGTTTCCGATGAATTGCTTCAAGAGACGCATTAAAATGGCCTAATAGTATTCCTTATGTCCGCTTGACCTTATGGAACGTATTCATGTTGAGCCATACGATGATAACCTAGTTTACAGTCATTTTCCGATTTTGATGTAGAAACTGTTTCTTGATTATTTTGAGTTGCTAACACAGAAAGTGAGAAAATTTCCAAACACGTAAGATTTTTTGTCTTCTAGGCAAGGATTTAGGATTTAACCCCATCACAGCAATTTACTCACTTTTTACTTTACTTTACAAATGACTACAAAAAACTCTTAGCACATCAGTCGCAAATTTTCTCTTCAGATTTATTGACTAGTGTATTCCAAGTAAACGAGGAGCATCACCCTGAGTTATGACCGACTCTATGTGATTTTCGGTGTCGGGTGATTTTTAAAACGCCATTCGCTACATTGTTGGACAGTTTCGTTGTACTTCCTATAAACGCACGTCTCTTCATCCATAATGATGCAGAGTCCTCAGTTACATTGTCATATAGCATATCTTTTGAGACCTTTAGACGAAATCGTTTTTGAAAAAGACGCATGAGTTTTAGTGCAAGCTGTACATTGACATGCTTCGTAATGAAAATGTGTTGAGTCTTTCCACAAGAAAGATTGATCCTTTAATATCTCTGTTATGCTAACGCGACTACTTTCAAACACTCTTTTTTTTTTAGTTATTGTGATGTTATTACCATCAGCAGAGGTGGATGGACCACTCGCTATATGCAAGTTTTCGGTGACTTCACGACCTTCTCTGAATGCGTTGTGCCGCTCAAACACATCGAGCTCGTGATAATTTCGATTCGCCAAACACTTCTGTGACATATTAAACCATTCCATAGCCATGATTGAATTGCAAAAAAAAAAATTGCAAGCAAACTCGTTGTTGAATTTTTTATTTTTGTTTTTCATGGCAAAAATCGGCAAACATTTCGCGTCGTAAACAAACAGCCGTCAAGCACACACTAACTGAGCAAGGATGTGATGAATCGAAATAATATCAGAAGAAGAAATGCATACGGGGTGTGTTAAACATATAACGGGATTTCGTTTTTTGAAAAAGAAAAAAATTTGCATTAATGTTGTCGCCTTCAAAATAATCCCCATTCGATATTGTGCACTTTATGCCAGCGCTTTTTCCGATCGTCGAAACAATTCATAAACGCGATTTTTGTATTAGCCTTTAGCTTTTTCAGCGATTTTCATCTATCGTGTAAAATAACGGTTCTTAAAGGCCTCTTTATAATTGGAAATAGAAAAAGGTTACAGTGAGCCATATGTAGCGAGGCTGCGGCATGTTTACAGTATGGTTTTTGGGCCCGAATTCATGAAAAAAATTTTTGATAAATTTCTTTTAAGGGATTACATGGGTTTCTCGGATAAAAAACAGCAAAAAATATCTTTCAACAATTTTTTTCGCATACAAATATTGGAATATTTTATTAGAATTTTTTATTGTTACAAATATTCATTATTAACAAAGAAATTTTGAAATTTGCGAAAAAAAATATAAACTCGGCAATTTCGACGCCGTTTCCGGTGACAACTCGGAAAAAAGATGTGCTCGCCTTGGCAAGATAACTCTTTACAAGATCAGCTAAAGTAAAAAAAATACGTGTTTTAGCTAAAACCTAATCTTAGAAGTTGAACAAAGAGGAAAAAACTGATAATTGGATTTTGGCGGAATGAATACAGCTAAATCACCTTATGAAAAACTGTATGGTTGGACATATAGTATATTGTGGTACATTCTTCAGTTAAAATTTTTTCATTCAGTTTGGCAGAAAGAAAGTTTTCACGTGATAACTACCATGTTGCTCTTTCACCGAAACTACGCTTTGACTTATTACTCCGATATTTGGAGGAATTTCGTTATGAACTAGTCCTCAGCAACCTTTTTTATCAGAATTGGCCTAAATCGCAAAGAGTTTGAAAATTAGATTTTCTCAAGAAATTGTGACATTAAAGAGCCTCCAAGACGTTGAGACTTTAGACTACATACCTCTTGTGGGGTTATTTGAAGTCATTGACCTTTAGCAATGAACCAGACTCTCCTCAAGCTTTAGAAGTCAGTACTCAACATGCTATTGATGACATACGACTTGATTTATTGGAAAAGTACTCGAAAATTGGGTTCATCGCAACCGTTTCTGGCAAAGAAGTGGGGGTCATTCAATGAATTTATACTCAGAATCTAACTGTGTCGATGTAATTCTCATTAAATGAAAAGCATTTGAATTTAGTTAACAAATAGTGTTTTTCTTTTAAGAAATAATGTCACTCTTATATACTTATAGTCTAATTTTATAACCATACTTAAATCAACACTACAAAACCGTATATACAATTTCTAATACCTAACATATATGTTCTAATATCACCTGTCTCTCGTAATTACTTTACAATGTATTCCTAACAGTTATTTGTTGTTGCTTTATTCGACGAAAAAAAAAGAGCAATTCGTTAATTACTAACTGCGCCCTATGAAGAAAAGCTAATATTTCTGGCAGAATGTGTGATAGTGTGTCCCTACCTCAACCTGAGACAGTCAACGTGAGCTCCAGTACGGTTGGAAACCATATACTAAACATATGTTTAACAAGTTTACAGCTTTTTAAAGTCACTTATTTATTTAGCCTACAATGATGTCTGACTTAGCTTTCTCCCGCACACTTTTGCGCACACAATCCATATTCTCCATTGATAAGACGCTTCACCAAAACAACTGCAACGCTACAGAATGTCAATGTTCGAACCTCACAATCGAAAAGTCTTGCAGATAAAAGTCGAGGTCCCTTCAATTTCAATTTGTTTGAATAATGAAAGTACCAAAAGATAACGTCAATCATTTACACATACATACACACGAATGCATATTAACCGGAACTTACCTTAATTGAATATGATAATCAGCACTTTTTCTTCAAAATACTACACCGTTATCTCGAAAAGCGGTCACTTCCTCCAATTGAATAAAATTGGCGTATTAAAGTATTATCAATTCTCAGAAAATTATAGCTAAGTACAAGCTTGATGAGGACAAAGATAAGGTTGTATTATATACACATATGTACATACATACATACATAACAGTATAATATTGATAAGAAGAAATTTCAGTCAAGCAATTAAAGCTGAAGAATCAAAAAAGCACCTGTCGGCTAAGGCTGCACTTCAGTGGAAGTAAAATAGAATAAATATTTTGAACAATTTGAAGTCAACAAATACAAATATACAGATGTAGATATGTATGTAGCCATGGGGGTGTACCTGTTTTTTTATGGTTGTTTACTACTTGCTAGATATACTCGCACACCCTTGAAGATTCACAAAATTTCGCGCGTGAAGATTATAATTGAATTTGGCATTAAACAGGCGTGTAATACAGATAAGACCGTTATAATGAAAGTAGTGCAATTTTAATCATAATTGGCTTGTTGTCACTTTGTTTGTGAGACCACACATTCTACTCAATTAAAAATAGACTTATACCTTGTATATGTATGTAATATAGTGTTATTTCTATATTCATATTTTATTTCCTGTTCTTGCTTCCCCTGCTTTATCAGCTGTTGAGCGCATCATTCACTTCAATATCAAGTGCGTACTTCCCCAAGCAAGTCTTAAGTATTAGTAAATGCATGAAAATTGCAATGTTCAGTAGTGTCACGATTGTTAAGGGTGCATGCGAAGAGGCCAATAATTTTTTTACGGCTGTAAATTTCTTTTTTTGATCCTTCATTGTTAATATTTCATAGAAGTCATTACAATTTTTTCTCTCCTCCCTCTTTCTTTCAACACAGAATCTAATGAACGGTAATCACGCACTCAAACTGAGCTACGTTTACCCCTCATACTCAATACTCAAACTTCGGAAAGTTATTTATTGCAGATCTTTTGAGAAGTGAAGCATTGTTTAAGTAAACTTTATTTTTTTTTTATTGGTCGCAAAAAATTCCCCGTCGAACCCTTCCTGATGTAATAGATACCGCAGTATCACGACTGTGGCAGAAACTGGCTAACATCAGTTCGCCTCTCTTACAGTTGAGCATTCAAGTATGACGTTTTACCATAGTAGGGGTAGAAAAAGGACT